CGCCTGGCAGCCCTCAACCGTTTTCTATCTAAATCGGCGGAGAAGTCTCTACCCTTCTTCCAGATCATGAGGAAGACGGCTGGCTTTCTATGGACTCCGGAATGCCAGGGGGCTTTCGACGAGCTCAAAAGATATCTATCTTCACCTCCTGTGCTCTCCAAACCCAAGGTAGGGGAGACCCTCTACCTCTACCTTGGGGTCAGCCCGGCGGCCATCAGCTCTGTGCTCATCCGGGAGGAACACGGCATCCAACATGCCATCTTCTACGTTAGCAAGACCCTAAGGGAGGCCGAGCTCAGGTACTCCCCTGTGGAAAAAACGGTGTTGGCCATCGTTTGGACTGTCAAGAAGTTGGGCCACTACTTTCAGGCTCACCCAGTTCAGGTCCTCACTCATCAACCCCTCGGCGCCCTCATGAGGAGCCCCACCAGCTCCTCCCGCATGGTTAAATGGGCTATCTTCTTGAGCCAGTACAACATTGACATCCGTCCAAGGCCTTCCATCAAGGGCCAAGCCCTAGCGGACTTTGTGACGGAATGTACCGCAAGGGCAGCCACGGACGGGGAGCCCTCGGCTACCTCGGACGACTGGTGGACCCTCTACACTGATGGCTCCTCCGCGACCAAAGCATGCGGGGGAGGGGTAGTCCTCATTACTCCCGAGGGCTTCAGGGCCTACTATGCAATCCACTTCTCCTTCAAAGTCTCCAACAATGAGGCCGAGTATGAGACCCTCCTATGTGGCCTTCAGCTGGCTGCCAACATGAGGGCTCGGCAGATCCACATCAAATGCGACTCCAAGTTGGTCGTTGGCCAAATCTCCGAAGAATATGAGGCCAAGGAGGGAAGAATGAAACAGTACAAGGAGGCGGCCAAGGAGTTGCTTAAAGTATTTGAGGCACACTCTCTCACCCAAATACCGAGGGCTCAGAACTCCGAGGCCGACATATTATCTAAACTCTCGGCAGACTCCCCCGAGCACATCTCCAAAATTGCCAAAATCGAGGAACTCAGCCTCTCAAGCATCCATGCAAGCCCCGTGATGAACATACAACAACGTCAGGAGGATTGGATCTCAGACATCACCGCCTTCATCTCCACAGGGCAGCTACCCGAGAATGAGACCCGCGCTAAACTGGCAAAACTGAGGGCTCCTAGCTACACCATCGAAGATGGGAGGCTCTACAAACGATCTTACAATGGCACGCTACTTCGGTGCCTTCATCCAGATGAAGCCGAGGTCACAATGGAGGAAGTACACAGTGGCATTTTCTCAGCTCACCAGGGACCCTTCTCCATGTCCCGAAGGCTGATTCTCCAGGGCTACTTCTGGCCAACCATGGCCAGGGACTGTGCTGATCTTGCCCGGAGGTGCACCGCATGTCAACATTTCCAAAAAGCTCCCGGCAGGCCAGCGGTCAACTATGCCCCCATCAGCACCTCTGTCCCATTTTCTCGATGGGGGATAGACCTTGTGGGCCCTCTGCCGAGGGGTACCTCCAACAACAGATACATCATTGTGGCCGTCGACTATTTTACCAAGTGGGTGGAGGCTGAACCCCTCGCCAGCATCACAGAGGCGAAGTGCCGTCACTTCGTCCTCAAGAACATCCTCACAAGGTTTGGCGTCCCCCAGCAGATCATCTCCGACAATGGGACACAATTTGAGGCAGCCCCCTTCTGTGCCCTTCTGGAGGCATGGGGCATCAAACACACCTTCTCCTCCGTTGCCTACCCTCAAGGCAACGGGCAAGTAGAGAATACCAACCGGACCTTGCTCGAGGGCCTCAAAAAGAAGCTGGAGGCCGAGGGAGGTGGCTGGGTGGAAGAACTCCACAACATCCTTTGGGCCTATCGCACCACCCCTCGGCGAGCAACAGGTGAAACACCCTTCTCCCTCTGCTACGGTTTTGAAGCCAAAGCTCCTATGGAAGTCACCATTCCCACCCGAAGGGTGATCCAATATGACCCCGAGGTCAACGACAGCAACATGGCCCTCGACCTCCACCTCATTTCAGAACGCCGGGAGCAAGCCTTCATCCGGGCAGAAAACTACCGAAGGCAAGTTAAAGGCTACATCGACGCCAAAGTTCGCACTCGAGAATTTCAAGTGGGGGACTATGTCCTCCGGAGGAGGGAAGCCAGCCAACCAACCGAGGGAGGAAAAATGGCACCAAAATTCGAAGGCCCCTACATCGTAGCAGCCATCATCAACCCCGGGACCTACAAGCTCAAACGCCCCAATGGGAAAGAAGTCCCTAGGCACTGGAATGTACACCATTTAGTTAAATTTTATCAATAATGTAAGAGCGGCCAAGCCCTCATAATTAGTAAATGTACTATCCTAAGGCCCGAGGCCTCCAATTTCGAAGAATGAAGGTACATTCAAGACATCAAACCCTCATAATGACTACAGGCCCCAGGCCTCACCACGAGAAAAACCCCCTCCGGCACCAAGTGCCGAGGGCGGCCGCCATCAACACCCACAACATCAGTGAAAACACCACGTGTTTTCAGTCAAGGCCCCTCGGTACCAAGTATCAAGGGAGGGAACTCCTATCACCAACAACAAAGAACGCCATGTAATTCATTTCCCTTCGGCACCTAGTGCCGAGGGTACATCCCTACCTTCAACACCAAAAAAGAAAAGATGAGAACACCAAGTGTTCCTACAGAAGACCCTTCAGCACCCAGTGCCGAGGGTACACCTCCATCATCAAACATCATCAAAGAAGACCCCTCGGCACCCGGTGCCAGGGATATGCTCTCCTATCAGCTTCCGAACATTTGTTGGAAAACACCAAGTGTTTCATTTGAAGACCCTTCGGTACCAAGTACCGAGGGTAGACACCTCCATCAACTACGATAAAAGAGAACACCAAGTGTTCCTACAGGAGACCCCTCGGTACCAAGTACCGGGGGCTACACATCGAAACTAACACCAAGTGTTGTTTCTAAAAGCCGTACCCCACGAGGACGCATATACCGAAGGCGCCACCATCGGTGCCGGCGGCACGTAGTGCCCTCGGCCATTTGCAACTAGTGTGCAAATGAAAACCCTTCCTTGAAACGCTTTCCGCGTCACTACCCCCAGGGTATGACAGGCATGAGAAATGCCCAGGATTCGACTTTCAAAAACGGAACGCTATCCGCGTCACTACCCCCAGGGTATGACAGGCATGAGAAATGCCCAGGATTCGACTTCCAAACCGAAATGCTCCCCGCGCCACCACCCCAAGGGTGTGGCAGGCCACATACTATGTCTAGCGCCGAGGGGACGACTTTCAAAAATGAGGCGCTTTCCGCGCCATCCCCCAAGGGGAGGCAGGTTACGGACCACCATATCTTGTGCCCAGGAAACGTCCCTCGATCCCCTCGGCACTCGGAAGGTTAACCCGAGGGAGGAGAGCCATTGGTGTATTCTGATGGTCTCCTAATAGGCCCAGCCTTACCAAGAAACCAAGTTTCTTGATGCCTTCCCTTCACCACCAACCAAAAAAAAAGAAAAACAAAAAAAAAAAAGGGGGGGGTGAAGGGGAGTAGACTCAGCGAGAAATCAAAGAGTACACTCCACCAAAATCACAACATGCCGAGGGCTCCCCACGGGAACACCTCCGGCAATTGAAAACTCCTAGTTCCCGAAGGATACTACTCAAGGAAATATCATCAGGAAACGGCTAAGTCCACTACCTGGTCACCTCCGGTCACAAAGACACCGAAGGCTTCAACAACACAAAGGGACTGGACTGTCCAAGGTCCACTAAACGGTACTTCAAACAAACACCGAAGGCATCCGTTATGCACAAATACCGAGGGCCCTTTCCCCATGACAAGGATCAAATTCTACGACTTTTAGAGTGTATGCCGAGGGCACACACTCCTCATTGGCTTTCTTCACGACAACAGGATTCAACATCAATTTATGCTTAAAAAAATTCTAAGTCCTGAGGGAGCAGCCCCCGGGCACCCGAAGGCTACACAGGGAAGCAGCACTTGAAAAATTTCTAAGTCCTAAAGGTAGAGCCCCCGGCCCAATCAATATTACAGCCTAGGGAATATGGTGGCCGAAGGCCATGCAATACAACAACACTTAAAAAGGAGTGAGGGTATTCTGTCCTAAATGAGTAGCCCCCGGGCATCTCGCAAAATCAGAGGGCACCCATCACCCGAAGGCACCCAAGGGAAAATTCACACTTAGAGTATTTTCTAAGTCCTACAACTACTCTTACATCAAGGAGAGATGCCATCTACCGAAGGCTCCCAAGGGGGATTTTACACTTAGAATATTTTCGAAGTCCTACATGTTTTTCCCCGGTCAACAACTTATACATCAAGGAGGGATGCCATCTCCCGAAGGCTCCCAAGGGAAACTCTACACTTAGAAGATTTTCTAAGTCCTGCATATTTTCCCCGGTCAACTACTCATACGTCATGAAGGGCTGCCATCTCCCGAAGGCTCCCAAGGGAAACCCTACACTTAGAAGTTTTTCTAAGTCCTACATATTTCACCCTCATCTCAAGGGACCTAATTGCCGAGGGCTGCCTATCAATCGAGAGCTACAGTACACAAGGAATCAGCACTCAAGAAAATTTTCTAAGTCCTAAAGAATTAGCCCCCGACCTAATCAATGTTGCGGTTGGGGCTCCATAGTAGCCGAAGGCTACGTGACACACTACACTCGCAAAAAAATTCTAAGTCCTATACATCGGGCCCTCGGTCCAATATTTACACATCAGGAGGGGACGCCATATCCCGAAGGCTCACAAAGGAAATCTACACTTAGAAATTTTTCTAAGTCCTAATTGCTGCCGAACCCTCGGTTGCATATCCAGCAGAGGGTGCCCAACTACCGAAGGCTCCCAAAGGCTAGCTACAATTAGATAATATTCTAAGTCCTAAAACATACATTCAAAGGAGCAAAGACATACATCCAAGGCAAAAATGAGGGCATGCATTCAAGGAGAAAGGAATTGGAAAAAACAAAGCCACATGTACAAGGCCCGAAGGCAATCATTCATTCGACAAAAGAAAGGGATTCAAGTGTGTTTGTTACAAAGTATGGCCAAAGCCGAGGGGTGACAAATATTCATTACAAAGATTTTTCGAAAAAAGTGACTAAGTACTACTCTTCTCGGCGGCTTCAACCTCATTGTCTCCAGGGGCATCTTCCACGACAACCTTGGAGGAGACTTCTTCTCCGGCAGCATCACCCCCGACGGCTCCACCCCCGTCACCCCCCATCATTACGGAATCATAGATTGTCGGCCGCTCTTCACCCGTGGGGAGGGGAACTCTGACATCTGGTTGCAACGGAGGGAGGCCATATGCCGAGGGGTCGAATTGCTCGAGGGACACGCCAAAGTGCCTGGCAAGCCTCCGGTAGATCAGGTGCTGGGTAAAGAACTCACCCCCTAGTAGTAGGCGTCCCCTCTGTCAGTCAGCCAGTCAACCCCGGGGCCTTCTACCCAAGCGTCCACCGAGGCTGCCACCACGGAGGCAACCTACTCCTTGTGGCCCTCGGCCCTCCAGCCCTCAGCAAGGAACTCCGCAACTGCCTCCCCTCGGGCCTCGGCCGCAGCTCTCTCCTTAGCGGTTTGGGCTTCATCGGCGGCTCTCTTCGCCGCTTCAGCAGCAGCCCCCTCGGCTTCTGCCTTGCCTTCGGCTATGCCATCAGCCTTGGCCTTCTCCGCCGCCGCCTTCGCCTCCCGAAGGGCCTCCTCCAGCTGGGCAGCATGCTTCACCACCTCGGAGTTCTTGCGGATCAGCCCCTCCACCTTCTTATCCTGGGCAGCCTCGTGAAGACGCCTTTCCTCGCGCCTCCGGGCATGTTCCCCGAGGGCTATGCAGGCCTGCAAACAATGATCAAAGGAGTTAGATTGTTCCTCAAAAAAAAAAAAAAAATAAGACTAAACTGACAAGATAAGGAAAAAGGAAGCGGATACTTACAGTGAGCGAGGACCGGAGGATCCTGTTCTCGAGGGCATCGTCATCATAGGTCTCGAAGACTTCCCTGTCCATCTTCGAGGTGATGCCCCGCAGGAAGGCCTTCGGCTCTGCAGTGCCGTGCATCAACGAAGCGCCGGGGGCAAAGGAGAGCTGACGGATCTCCCGGGGTGATTCCGCCCGGGGGGATTTACCGGATCCTTCGGGGGGACCGAGGCCAGAGGCTCATCGACAGCGGGCATGTCATCAATAACTATGAGGGGGGCCGCCCCCCCCGACAGCACCCCCGGCGCCTTTCTGCTTCTTGGTAGGGGGCTCCACCCCCTTGTCGCTCCTCTTCTTCTTAGCGGCCGCCTCGGCCTTCGACCCCCCGGTCCCCACAGCAGCATGGGCGTCCCCGGCGGAAGGCTCTATGACCTTCGGGAAAAGCGCGTCAACTGATTTCTGGCCCGAGGGCCCCTTCTCCTTTTGCTGGGTCTTGCCCTTCCTCTTCGCGAACAAGGCGTTGGCATTCATCCTGCTACCTGCAAAGAACGACAGCAACAAGTTGAAATGTTAGAACCGAGGGGTCAGAGACACGACAACAAACATAACAAAAATCTCTAAGTACGAAAATGCAAAGCCCCCGGCCACTACCTCCTGCTCCCACGAAGGCTTTATCGTAGAGAGGATACTTCTCATCGGTCTTCCCAATGAACCGATACCTCAGGAATCCGAGGGCATACAGGTCTTCCTCGAGGGTGCACTTCTTGATGGTTACGTTCTTTGTCCGACCCTCGGGAATCTTGGCAATCTTCAGACCATCCTTCTCAAGGGCGGCACTCTTGACCTTCACATGGCGCCGAAAGCAATTCCGCAACTCCCTCGGGAAAGGGCTGTCGGCCAGTCTGATGTAGCACCATCGCTCTCTCCACCCCTTGTTGGAAGAAGGGGCCTCGGTGAACAGCTTGAACTGGGCTATCTGCTGTAAATTCGCATAGCCCTCGGCATTGGTGTGGCCCCCCCGGCATAGGTTGAAGCTTTGGAAGAATAACTCCAAGCTCGATGTAACCCCCCGGAGTGTGCACAGGTTCACAAACCCAGCTATGTATGAATGGCTGTTGGGGGTCAATTGGCAGGGAACCAGGCCAGTGTACCTGAGGTACTCCCGAAGGAACGGATGGAGAGGGAATCGGAGGCCCATTGAAACCGAGAGCACGTGCACGGCTATGCATCCCTCGGGAGGCCGGGATAGCACGTCATCAGGACCCGGCTCGACTACTACGGCCGAGGGCCCTACGTGCAATTGGGTGATGTAGATGTCCGCCCTGTCGGCTTGGGACTTAATCTCCAGAGCGGCGGTGTCCAGAAAGGAGTAACCCTCTGGTAGATCAACTGGCCCCCCTTGATCGACGACCCTTACTTTCTTCTGGGGGCCAGCCCTCGTCTTTCTCTTATTCTTCCCGGGGGCCACCCGGATGGGAACTGCATTCAGCGGCTGGGAAGTACTGGCCTCACCAGCACCCCGAGGGGGAAGGACGGCCACAGTGACCTTCGCCCTCTCCTTCTCCTCTTCCTCCTCAGCAATCTGGACGGCGAGGGCCAACTCCTCATCTTCCGCGGTCCGCTCGAATTCCTCCGCCTCGGCCTCGGCCATCAGATCCTTCTGCACCTCAGTGGCGAGGGCTACGTCACCACCATCCGAGGGCTGACTGCTGCTGGACTCCACATCGGAGATGCCTTCGTCCTCCATCGAGGGCGTCCTCGAGATGTCCTGAGAGTCACTCTGGGACGACATTCTACACTCTAGCTCGAGGGTTCGGGGGAACTAAGGTTCCTAGTGAATTCTATCTTCTAACCCGAGGGCACAACGTACAGCTATACTAGAAGGAGAAAAGGCAGGGAGCACTGACCTCGAAAGCTGAGTTAGGACCGAAGGCTTGAGTTTCTCTCTCTAGAAAAATTGGCAGAGCTTCGCTAACAAGTTTTCGCACACGGAGGAATGCCTGGCCTAGGGGTATTTATAGGCGATAGAATCCGGGCTTGGGCCTGGATTCTCGGCCCCCGGATGGACGCCATCATTACGCACCGTCGTTTCACCCAACCGGTGACGCCGCCCACGAACAACCAGCCATCACACGCCACGTGTGCCATCCCCCCAACGGCTATATCTTGTCGTTACGTATTCCAACGGCTATATTTCCAACGGCTATATTCTGGAAGCCCCCGGGTTTTCTACTTCATTCCACTTCTTCAAAGATAGCCTCCGGGTACAATCACTCAGAAGTGCCCCCGGGTTGCGCCCCACACAGCACATAACACACGCCTTCGGGATCACTCCTTCAGATCCCCAGGGCTGCATATCAGGGGCACCCCTCGGGGTTTCCCCCTCAGCACTGCAAAACCGGGTAGCCCCCGGGGAGTACCTCGTTGACGGATGGCCCAAGGCACACAGGTAATGTGAGCCCTCGGGTATCTTCATCACCAACTCATCAACAAACAGTGGACCCCCCGGTAACAGCTTCACTGCTGCCCTCATCTGGCAGGCCCTCGATCCCTGGATTGAGGGGGTCCCCTTCGGCGCCACCAGGACATCAACAGCAAGCCTCCGGCTAATCAACACAGGAGCCCTCAGAGGAGAGAGCCTTCGGGATTCCCGTCATCCTCCATTTTTTACCAAGGTTTGATATTTTCGATTCATCATTGGGGGAATTCGGTGCACTCTTTTTCCCTCATTAGGATTTTTTCCCAAAGGGATTTTCCTAATGAGGTTTTTAACGAGGCATCCCTCCAAAATGAAACGAAAAACGTCAGCCTTCGGCCACAAAATCACCACAACAACAACACCCCTTCGGGAAAATCATTAAATTACAAAATCTGCGAAATTCCAACAAACAACAAAGCAAGCCCTCAAGTCCCGACATGTGGGTAACTGAGGGACTGCCTTCGGCAGGAACATAAAAGCAACAACTCCTCACCAACTTCAGAGATCACGACAGGACAACATCAAAAGGCAAGCACAAATTACTCCTTTTCCCTCAAGTACCTTTCGGCAAAAGGAGTGAGGGACTCCTGATGGAGTATATGGCCCGGGAACCCCCGACCCACAGACTCCTACCACTCCAGCGAAGGCCCAACAGGCCCAGAAGGCCCAGCTGGCCCAAATCACAGCGCCCAGAGTACCAGGCAGCCCGCACTACGCGCCAGGGGTGCCTTCGGCCCCCTGGCCGAAGGGTCTAAAACTCTCACAGAACGGGTTTCTCAAGCAAACTAAGAAACTGGGGGAAAATGACGAAAACAGTAGCCCTCGGTACTGTGAGCCCTCGGCACCAAGGTGCCCTCGGTTGGGGGAGCCTTCGGCTACTGCTCTATGGCCGAAGGCATCTCACTCGACAAGATATCCGCCTCACATGCGTACAGATCACCGTACTCTGCACAGACGTCCCATCCAACAGCCGCATTAAATGCGACCACATGCGGCTGCCAGCGCCAACCAGTTGAGGCGACCCCTCGGCCAATGAGCGCTTGACACGTGTCCCTACCCGGCATTTATTGTTACTATAAATAGCCCCTCATTTCCCCATTTGTAATCACGCTTAATACATATCAAATATACACTCTCTCTCTTACTTGTTTGCTCTGACTTCTCTCTAGTTATTCTCCGCAATAACCCCTCGGATAAGCTACCCCCCGGGTAGACTATCCATCATCCAATGCTACAATGTGCACGGTGCACATGTGGCATAAGAGAGATAGACACAAAATATTGATTTTATGACATTTCTCTCTCCGTCTTTCCACGACCTTATGTGTTTTTGGTAAATTTTTCCCTGCAATGTCAATCACAATGTCTAAATCTAGACATTGTGCTTGACATTATGAACAAAAACTTACCAAAATGATATAAGATCCTTCAAATAAGGAGAGAGATATTCTATTTATTGTTTCAAATAAGGAGATAGATATTCTATTTATCGTTTTTCATTGGCTATCTCTTAGTGTGTTATAATCTTTCCATTTCCTATTTTTGGATAAAATATAAGTATATATATCCAGAAAATAGCATAAATACAATGCATCAAAAAGATAAAAAATAACTATCTAAGCTATCAAGCTAACCTAAAATAGTATATACCGTATCCCCGCCCCCTCCCCCCCCGCCAGGCGGGGGAGGGGAGAGAGAGTTTTTTGGATAACAAACGGCACGGGACAGGCTCCGGCTCGTATCACAAAAATCGGTAACCAAAAAGGACTAGTCTATAAAAGGCCAGCCCATAAGCAAAATCCAGTCAAAGGACCACAATGTCCACCAAAATCAGTCCACAATAGAGCCAACAAAGGCCCATCCTTTATCAAAATATTGGCCCATCAGGGCAAATCAGAGCAAACAGCGTCCCAGAAATCAGCAGGAACCGACAGTGGGCTAATTAAGGTCCGAAGCCCAAAAGTTACCTAACGTTCCATCTGCTTGAAATTTGAGCCTTGCACAGGTCGAAATTCAAAATTCAAAAGGCTACAGTAAACCGACAGGACTACAGACAGCTGTCCAATCGCAGGCAGGCCAGACAGGTCGCCGTTGACTAGTCCGGCGGTGTCTCCGGCGAATCTCTGGCCGGTCGTCATGTAGCCCAGAAGTCCAGTAATTACGTTCGCGCGTAACAGTAACCATCCCCCACCCCCGCCAGGCTCCGGCATCAAACCCGACAGCAACGGTGGAGGAGAAAAGTAACTAGCCGGAAAACAAAGCCCAACCGAGCTCCCCCCACCTCCCACCCTCGTTGGACCCCGGCAACCTCCAACGACGACAGTAGACAGTTTCAGGGGCGGTACGGACAGTAGCCGGAAGCTCAAGTAGCAGCAGGCGGATCAAACCCCCGGGTTCCGGAGACCTGTTTGCTGTCAAATTACACCATACGCATAACAGTTCCAAAACCAAAGAAAATGAAAACAAAGGAGGCCCTGTAATCGCTCCAGTCCCCCCAGTCATCTTCTCCGGCCAATCAAGCTCAAAAACCGAACCAGTCAGAACCCAAGACCAAAACGCCATGCCCCTCGCCGGAGATAAAATCCCTTTATCATTCCGATGCCCCTCTCTTCCCCATTCCTTCCCACAATCGTCACTCCCTACCCTCTACGGAGGCCAAGCGCAGTGGTTATCAGTCCAGTAAATCGGAAAGAAGCTCAGTCCTTCCAGGGGAAAAATCTACAGCTCAGAGCAACGAAGTGGTCCTCCGGTCAAATCTTCAAATCCGTCAAACGTTCAAACGAAAATACCAGACCTCATGACCAGAAAATCGTAGGCGAAAAAATAGCAAGGAAGAAAAGCTTCTCCCGAAAAGCAGAGGCTTCGATTTCCAGCCAGGTTGACGAACCAGAAAACAAAACGAATTCAATTTACCTGGTCATCAGAGGACCATCGCCGGTCGCTGCGAACTCCAGATCCTAGGCCTTGGCCCAGCCAGGGATACGTAACGAAGCAGTTTGAGATGATGGTCGCGTGAAAGATTTGCAACGAGACCTCCCTCACCCATTGATGCCACTAAAAACGCCATCATCCATGGTAGGGGTCTACTGTAAGTACTCTGAAACAACGAAGAGGACGAACAGGCCGTGAAGCCTTCCAAGAGTCTAACCGGCCGTTAACAAGCGCCCCTATCCACTTGTCCTCCAGCTTATTAGCACACCCCAACCGCTCAGGTGTCCGTCCGAGGACGACGATGTTGTCTCCACCGGATAGTTTTCACCATGGTTGTTGAAAAGGACAGGGAAAGCCGAACGTGGACACGGCGAAGGTCAAACTGAAGCACAAACTAGTGGTCACGAGACCACCAGACCCCGGTGAAGATTTCTGCCAATGGTTCATGAGTTGCTCACCTCCCTGTACTTCAGCCATGGATCTCCAGCCGCGAACTTCCGGCGTCCATATTTTCCGGCGAACTCCGGCCAACAAGCACCCAAGAACCACCGAAGTGGTCAAAAACCAATTTCCAAAAATGTTTTAATCATAAGACCTTGACACCCGCCGGAGCCAGGAGGGCTCCGACGGTGGCAGCCACCGTGAGAGGTGGTGCCGACCTGAGAAGCCGTGAAAGGAAGAGTCTAGCCTCGAGTGATCTAGAGAGAGAAGCTCTCAACTTCATTCTCTAATCTTTCCATTTCCTAAAAGATAGTAATCTGTCCTCGCTGCAGGCTTCCTCCGGCTTTCCTCGCTGCAAGCGTTCTCGGGCTTTCCTCGCTGCAGGCGTCCTCCGGCTTTCCTCGCTGCACGCGTTCTCGGGCTTTCCTCGCTGCAGGCGTTCTCCTGCTTTCCTCGCTGCAGACGTTCTCCTGAAACTCGCCGGAGATCTTCCAAACCGGTAACGCCTAGGGTTCAACAACATTAGTAAGTCGGGTTGTCTCTCTAGGACACCCGCTCAGGTATAAAAGCTTGAACTTGAATTTGGGCTGCCGGAGTGCCACCGGCTTCTGTGCTGCATGGGTACATACGTAACCCTAGTTTATAGATGTACCGGTTAGACACCCTAGATCCATTGATGCATGTGCAGAATCTGTCTAAACAGATCTGCAGAAACCTTAGGCTTGTTACAATCGTGCATGGGTGGTACCAATCTGTGTCGAACTTGGTCCACCACTTATCTTTGTGATTATCTGCTTATCTGTGTGATTACGTGCTTGTTGAACTGGTTACTGTTGTTATTGGTATCCTATTCTTTAGGGGTGAGATCTTGGAACCGGGAACCGTTAAAACGGTTGGAACCGAACCGTTATAATCCGGTTCGGTTCCTACAAATGAGGTATTAGTTGTTAATGGTTCGGTTCCTAGTTGTTGTTAACGGTTCGATTCCCGGTTCCTATAAAAAATATATACACAGAACCGTTAAGGAACCGATATTAAAAAAATATTGACAATATTCGTAGTAATACTAATATAACAAAAATAAACACAACAACAACAATAATAATAAATGAATGATATTTAGCCAATAATTCTAATTTAATTTAATCTATGAAAACAAAAACAATAAATATTTGCACATGAGGTTGAATACATTAAGTTCATTTTTACAAATCAAGTTTTGTTCGATCAATAGGAGTAGAATGTAGTGATGCTTTTATATTTGTACATGCAAACTCAATGCAATTCTAGGTTTTGAGAGGTATAAAGTGTACTCCTATCCTTGTCACTATAATGATGAGCAACCTTCATTTTAACGACATAACCAACGATTTTTATATTTTATGTATTAAATGAAAATTAAAATCTTCTTTTTATTCTATTAAGTGTTCACTTAAGTTTGAGCTTTGATGTTTGGAGCGATTAGAACTCTAAATAAATGTTTATGACTTGTTGACTTTTTGTCATTTTCATGTGCTAGAAGCTAAAGTATGTGTAAATTATTACACGGAAAAATTATTCTAAGAACCGATAAAAGCAAGAACCGAACCGTTTAATATTGGTTCGGTTCCATATCGGTTCTTGATTTTTTATATAGGAACCGAACCGATTTCATTTGTTAAAATTTAAACAACGGTTCCACTATTTTTGAGTAAGAACCAAACCGGTCCCAGACCTACTGTTCTTAATAATCTCTGTGATTCTTACTCGTTTGGCTTTAACCGTTATCTCGACCTACCTGAGAATTCGAAATCACTTTGTCAGATGAAGTGATTTAATTTCTGAAATGAGTTTTGCATATTCTCTACGATTTAATATGATTTTATTGGAAAAGTGATTCAAAACTTTGCTGCACGTGATTAGGTACTGAAAGGCTTGTTTTCAAGATTTCTGGGTGTGAATTGTTTTAATCCAAGTAGTTGTGGTTTCATGTTTTGGTGGAATGGGTTGCTGCAATAAGACAAGAATAAAAAAATATTTTGATGAATAAACAATCCCCATTCACACCCTTCTCTTAATATCCGGTTCTGCTCACTGCAAAATCAATTGATTAACATGGATAGGTTTCTGGAAGTTGATAACAAAGTAGAAGTCGGGGCGTGTATGCCAGTAAAATGTAGAAATTGTTGATGATATTTTAATAATAAACTAAAATTCAAGTTCTTGTTCTTCATCTTAAGCTTGATTATGTGAACTTTTTTGTGCTGATATGCATCATATATTTTCCACACCAGTAACTTTCTGCTCTTCATTTAAATGGAGATTTTTATTATTTTTGTCTGTAATTAGTTGCGGCACTAGTTGAGAACAAAGTCTTGTTGTGCGTTTATAAATTTGATTATTTGAACTTGAACTAATACAGTTGAAAACAGTTCCATGAAATTCTGAATACTGGGGGACTTTGCATTAAAATTTACTAAATTTATGTTTTTCTTAGATGGACAACCCGACTGTTCACAATTTGTTTTCTGATTAGTACGACAGAGACGTTGATCCCATGCAAATTAACGCCATAGTGGCTTCATATGAGAACTGCTTTAACCTTGACTTTGTTCACAATTTGTTTTCTGATGAGTACGATGAAGACTTTGATCCCAAGCAAATTAATGCCAAAGTGGCTTCATATGAGAACTTCTATGACCTTGACTTTGTTCATCTGGAACACACAATACCAATCCTTGATGACATACCTTCTCAAGTGCCACAGCCACCACAACCACAGCCACCACACTTGAACCCCTCTCTCCCTTTGACATTTACACCCATAATCTCGTTGATGGAGTATATGGCTCCAGGCCCCAGGACCCACATACTCAGAGGAACAGAAAGCACAAGTCACTGAGTGGTGCCCTCGTCGGCCAAAGGACCCTCGTCAGTCGAAGAAGCGCCAACTCAGAATATGATGCTGAAGCCGGGAAACCCGGGTGCCCCCGTCGGCTGTGCCCTCGTCGGCCAGACCCTCGTCGGCCACGACGGGTTCGCAGAATAGATTTTACACTTAATCCTTTCTACATTCTTTGTATCTCGGCCCAGTAGCGGTCCAGCTGTAAGTGGGCCCTTAAGCCCAAGGCTTGGGAGCCCAGCCCGTATTTTTCCTATAAATACTCCCTTTGGGAGTAGTTGTAGGGGTTGACAAATCATTTATTGAAGCATTTATTTGCACTTCTCTCTCTATCTCTCACTTCTCTCTAGACTTATACTCTATCATTTGGTGCTCTCGTTGAGAGCTAGAACAATCAAGTTAGCACCCTTCGTCGCTACCAAGTACAACTAACCACTGATCATGGGAAGAACTAAGTCAAACCGCAACCTCATCAGCAAGGCCATCCCTGAGGACCAGGAGAATAGAGAACGTGAGGAGGACGCCACGGCCGACCAGGTCGGAGGAGGGGATGTCTTCCAGGAAGCCCTCGACCTCACCACGGACCTGCGCAACAAGCTCAACGACGGCGCTCCAGATGCCCGCATCGGCTTGGACCAGAAGCGCGCGGAAAAAGGTGACAATGCATCAGGACCGCCGGCCTCTCCTGCCGTAGACCCCCAGCTTTAGGCCGCTCTATCGGTCATCATCGCCAGCCTGGCTCAGAACCCCACCGTCCTCAGCGCACTCATACCAAAGACCGGGGAGAACATCACTCCACCTCCTCAGCCCCAACCGTTGGCCATCAAGCTAGGCAACGATGAGGGGGTGATGGCCCAGGACACGGCATCCTCCCACTCTCACCCTGCCTCCCCTTTTCGGCCCGGACCGACCCCAGCGCGTGGAAAAGCCTCTGCCTTCAACAGGCTGGGTGACACGCGCCGTCGTCCGGTATCGGATAGGATGGCGGGACGGATTGGTGAACGTCGTCCCGACTCGCCCAGGGAGAGCCTAGGGTCTGTGTCCCGGACAGCGGACCAGCCTCGTCTGGACAAAGGCAAGGGAAAGCTCCATGACGACGACGCGCTCCACCAGATCAACACGGCTCACGAAGCCCGCGCGCGCAACCAACATGGCACCACTACGGCCGCCAAGGACCCCCGGGACGAGGTCATCGCCCGACTGGAAAGAAGGTTGGCTCAGATGGAGGCCAAACAATCGGCGAACATCTCCACGGTCGGCGCCTCTAATGACATCGGCCTCAACGCGCTCATGAACAAGGTTAGCGCCTTTGAGAGGGAGCTGGCCGAGGGACGAGGTGACCCCATCGTCCAGGTCAGGATCGGGACCCCTTTCACTAACAGGGTACTCTCGGCCCCCATCCCGGAGAAATATAGGGGAAACGCCATCAAGTCATATGACGGCCGCTCCGACCCCCAGGAGCATTTCAGCCGCTATCAGAACAATATGCTGATGGTGAACACGTCGGATGAATACCTCTGCCGCTGGTCCCTCTCCACCCTTGAAAGGCCAGCGTACGAGTGGTTCAACGCGCTTCCCGAAGGAAGCATAGACTCATGGCAGGATCTTGCCCAACGCTTCCTCACTCACTTTGACGGGAGGAAGTGTGCGAAGAAATACTTCACCCATCTCCTCTCCGTCAAGCAGCAGCATGACGAATCCCTCCGGTCATTCATGGACCGGTGAACGAGGGAGACCGAAGAGGTCGAGGGGGCCGATGAGCGCACACTCCTCGTCCTCTACCAAGGGGCCCTCCGCAGCTCCCCGTACGCCAGGAGCCTCATCACCGACCCTCCGAGGTCGTATGCAAAGGCGCTTCAGCGCGGGAGCTTATACGCCGACGCCGATGAGCTCCACAGCCACAAGAAGGACGGAGGCCATCCCTCCAAAAAGACAAATCCTTCGCCGGTCCCGGGAGCATCCCCGGCCGGCCAGGGTGCCCAGGGCCGTCACGGCTCTGGTGGACAAAGCAAGAAAGACCGCCATTGACGGCCAAGGTTGGAACGGCCGGGGATTTCCCTCACACACCCGGTCAGCACCATCCTTGACTACACCGAGAAGCATGACCTCATTGAAAAGGCTCCTCGACCGACGGAGGAAGTCCATGCCATCCAGCAGGGCAGCATCTACTGCCGTTTCCACAAGAAGATTCCCACAACACCGACGACTGCATTACGCTGAAGAAGGCCATCGAGCGCGTGATTCGTCGGGGGGGGGGAACTCTCCCAATTTGTTAAAGGTGGCCCGCGCAAAAATACGTGGGTAAACACCAACAAATCTGGAGGCGAACCCTCTGCGAAGAAGCGGGAGATTGGTAGGCTCAGCGACGATGAGGACTTTGAGGAGCCTCCAGCAAAGAAGAACCACATTCACCTCATCGTAGGTGGAAACACTGGGGGGATTCCGTCACCCAGAGGAAGAAATGGGCCCAATCCCTCTACATCGGGGAGGTATCCCACGTTCCCCCCCATCCGAAGAAGCAACGGACGGAGGCGATCACCTTCACCGACAAGGATCTGTCTCTGGGTACGGAATCACACAGGGACGCCCTCGTCATCCCATGTGAGATAGGGGTAATTCTATCATCCACCGCACTTACATCGATACGGGGAGCTCCGTCAACGTGATGTACCTAGACACCTTCAAGCAACTGAAGCTGGACAAAGCTCTGCTGAAGCCGATCAAGACACCGTTGCCCGGCTTCACCGAGGACTTTATCGACGCCGAAGGCACGATAGTCCTCCCCGTGGAAGTCGGCGACGGCTCCCACCGCGCCAAGATTGACATGGAGTTCATGGTGGTCAACCTTCAGTGCGCCCACAACCTGATTTGGGGCCGGCCAACACTGGAGGACCTGGAGGCCATCATCTCCATGAAGCATTTA